AATTCACTTCAAGGGTTATTGTGCTTGATATCTTGACAGCAAAAATTATAGTTTTATTCCCGTATGAAAGTCGAAATTATACAATGCAAATTTCGAGAAAACCAAGAAGATTCAAATGCTTTCAATTTTAATACAGCGGACTGGTCTCATAAAGCAAAAATTAACCAGTATGCATGGATAAAGATACATATTAGGAATGAGCTTTGCTCGAATCATGATATATATACAAACAACCTGAACAAAGGATTTTAGGACCCGTAAGAGCTATAGTACTATCTACATAAGACCATTCCTGCCAGCCTAGCGGTTAATTAAAGGTCGGCTTCCACAGTGTCACAAATGACTTTGATGGAGCAGGAGTCATCGCTGATGTATGCTTTGCAGTCCCCATTCAAGGAGACGATTGTTGGTTCGAGATCTTCATTGATGGCTAGTAAGGTTTCTGAAGGTAGATCGGACAGTTTTCGTGACGTTTCGTGAAAAGTTGTAAAGCCGTTGGATTCACTGTACTCATCATTCTCGACATCTTCTTCTCCTTCCATTATCGTCTCTTCAGCAGCGACGTCACAAATCTGAAAAAGCTTTCAGTGCTTCATCTCCAGAATTTGATCCTCCAGACCCACCTTCTTTTGAAGGGCAAAAACGGCTGGCTCGGTTTGACGTCGTTTGTGACAGCTTCGAGTGATGATCTTTCGATTTTTGTCGGAATCCATCTCAAACGAGCGGTGACGAGTCTTGTTACGACGATGACCATGTCGTGACATCCGTTGCATATGCTCAGGAGGAGATGGAATGAGCTTGGGAAGGAGTTGGTGTATGCATTTCCATGTTGGAATGATTATGCGAAGTGCTGATCGCTTGAATTCTTTTACTGTGAACGAGTAGATGATTGGGTTAAGCATAGAGTTGCAGTAACCTGAATTGATGATCTTGGTCGAAGTTGAGTCTGAAAGTCACCGTCCACACACTGTTTCGATGTTGTATTATAGCGAGGCTTTTGACTAAGCAGGCGCCCAAGTTCCGCTGTAAAAGATGATTTCCTAAGCGAGAAAACCTCTTCAGAAGGTAGAAAAGGCCGTGCTGGCTCCGCCCATCAACAAGAGTGTTTAAGGATCAAAAGTTCAAGATTCGGCTTCAGTGTGTTTAGACTTGTCAAAAACACGCTCTTCATAGAAATTATCAGATATTGACATTGTTATCTGCACTGAAGCCCGCTTTCTAGCCCATTTT